ATACAGAACAGTAGTCCACAGCATAGTACAATCCATTAGTATTTGATGTGATGATACCAATGTTGTGTTAAATCTATCCATGGCCATACATATGATGATAGTTACAGTATATGGAATTCCATATATGATACAGTAATACAGAACAGTAGTCCACAGCATAGTACAATCCATTAGTATTTGATGTGATGATACCAATGTTGTGTTAAATCTATCCATGGCCATATATGGTAGTTACAGTACAGTATATGGAATTCCATATATGATACAGTAATACAGAACAGTAGTCCACAGCATAGTACAATCCATTAGTATTTGATGTGATGATGCCAATGTTGTGTTAAATCTATCCATGGCCATGTATGGTAGTTACAGTACAGTATATGGAATTCCATATGAGGTACAATCTTATAAAATTATATGTATAATTAGTTATGAACAATCAGAACAATTATTGTTGGAAGAATAAAAGATGAATTAGATATTTGTAATGTAAGAGGAGTAAATATATTAATAGTGTGTGTATGCCCTATGCATGGCCTATTTCTGTGGTAATATAAAATGTTATGCTATAACATGATTTATGCATCCATATTACATTAACATTGCTATTTTAGTATAACCGAATATTCAATGGAAATATTAATTTATTCACCATTACGGTATATTTTATTATTATTATTATTATTATTATTCTATTATAATATTAATAAAAGCATAGTTTGTATCTACCTGTATATCGAGGAGACCAGCTTCTTTGTCTTTTCCAGTTTTCTAAAGATCGACAATTGTTTTTAACATTATCTTAAGAATATAAGTGTTTATTCAAGAACCCATCTCATTAACATTAATTTGAAATGTGTCTGGCAGTGGCTTAGCAATACAAGAATATTTTTTTTTGTATATTTGGAGATTAAGTTGATCAGAGATCATCTATTAGATGCAGTTTATTGATATAAACAGTATATTATAAGGCGGAAGGGCATGATTGAAAGAACTGAAACAAATTATGTATAACAGTATATGTATTTATAGTATATATATCCATATCCATATATGCATATATATATACATATATATATATTTATATATATACATATACTTATTTTATCGTATATATATATTCATACTGTTTTACTTATAAATAAAACCGTATATATATTTATATATACATGTATAAACCAGTAACTATATTATAGGCATATATATATGATATACTTAGGACTAAATATACATAAACATACAAATGTATGTATAAAAGCAATTAAAGCTTAGATAATTGTATTACTAATAAAATCAGTGTAATATGATGAAAGTGTTACCAAAAATAAATTTTAATGTAAACGATATATTCTATGTGTAATTATTATGTGTATCAGTTACTAGGTGTAATTAGTCTCTAGTTTATAATCCAGATAAAAAAATATTTTCCTTAACTCTGAAGTTAAAAGCATATGGAGAGATTTTTGCAAACGGTTTGTGATTAGCGTTCTTGTTGAGGAATGTACTCCTATACATTTAGCATTGCATGAGATTGATATGGGAATTCAATTTTAATATCTGAATCCATTTATCAGCAGCATGCTACAAGGCATCGCTCAAGCATATGAGTAATTAGATGCAGGCCGCAGAAAATTGATGCAGAATCCCCCGCATGTAGTCTGAACAACAGTTATCATGAATATATTTGCATATTTAACATATCTCATTAATATTAATATTTTAACCATTTCCTGGATTGCATGCCATCATGATGAAGGGTCTATGCTCTGGTTATTATTAGTCCTGTATTTAGATCATATAGGCCTATGGCAATATTTATAGAATCTTCTAATTGTTAAAGATAAACCATTTATGGAAAACATTGAAATACAATTTGAAAATACAAATCAAAAATGAATTTTATAGACGTTTTACAAAAACCATTAATCGATTACCAGCTGTTGAATTTAAGATGCGTGTTTTAAAATCTTAAGATACATGTTTTCAAAAATATAGGAAAGGTGTTATTTAAATGTCTGTCAAAGGGCGAGGAAACTGTGTTTTCCATTTTATTTTTTTAAAATTTAATTTAACAAAGGTCGTGAGTTTGAAACACACACTGACCATTCTTACCTGTGCTTACGTTGGCAGGCTGTGAATCAGTTTACACCATATAATAGTGTAAGTTTACCACCAGTGATGATGAAAGGGTGTCTATCACTCCCATATATTATAGGCCTATGCATAGGTACACAAGCAAATAGGAAATATTACATTTTCTATTTTTCGAAATAATAAAAAAAACCCGTTTCTATCTTACAAAATGATGACATAGCTCTAGGGATCAAATAATAACTCAGAACATACATTATAGCATTAAGAAAAGAATAAACAGATAAATTATCAGTGTGGCTGTAATGAGGTGACTTGTTCAATTAGCATTGCCGCCAACGTTATTGATTGGTCGAACTACATAATGCGAAACTAATATAAAGACGCGTTTTAATGATTGAACGTGGACGATTTAAAAATATAAGCTAAGAACAGTGGCTTACGGTATAGATGAAGATAATAATGTTCGAATAAATTGAATAAAAAAATTGCTTGTTTCACTGTTTTCGGAGTTTATTTCATACTATCTTGTGTCAAACTTGTCGATGAACCCCATGGTATTTGAAACAATAACATTAAATATTTAGGTTACTAATTACATGTATTTATATAGGCCTATTTAAGTATGTTATTGTTAACCAACGAACATTAAAAAAAAACGTTATAATGGTTGCAAGCGTTGTAAATAAACCCTGTCCAGACTATCAAATTTTATTTGACAGAAACATGTGACATGCCTAAATATGGTCATGATGACATCACATATATAGGCCATCATGACTATATATGGGCATACAACATTGTTTTGGCAAAGAAATTTGATAGTCTGGGCAGGGCTTTGTCATAACGTTTGCAGCATTTTGGTTAGAAATTTCGTTATTTTACTCAAAAAAAAATTACGGTTTGTACAACCATGGAGGTATACAAAATATTTTATACCTCCCGGAACAACCAACTGATAAGTTTTTATTAATAATTCAGTAAATTTTAAAAGGATACTACATCTTTGGCCAATTAACATACTCTTAAACAAACTGCTCCTATATATTGTATAATTAATGCGAATATTTTCGTAGTAATACGTCTGTAAATCAGAAAACAAATTTATTTCCGTCTGTGTCTTATATTGGAAATTGGCATTTTTTTATAACGTTTTTGAAGATTTTTTCCTATATTATACCGCAGGCGATATCTGTAAAGCGGCAGTGTCATGTTGAGTTCGTAAGGCATTTAAATTACCGCGATTACATTTGAAGCTTGGATTGACGTCATATTATAATGTAGTATTTTAATTCAGTATTTTTTAATATCTGCTGAATTGAAATATTATAGTTCTCCTTCCGGTGTTTGGCAGTCCATCGTTGTGTACGGGCAGTTATGACGTACGTATTGAGAGAGATAAATCCCATGGCTATGACCGACCGATGAAATTGCTTAAAAAAACAAAATGATTATCATTAAAGTACTGTTTTCTGTCGTTGAAAAAAATCTTCATTAACTGTTAATATAGTGATGACTGATTTATTATTCATTTAAGCCTATAAATTTTCGTTAATGCCAAAAAAATCCGGATTTAACGGCAAGGACATGCACACCGCCGCGCGCGCAACGTCGCGAGTACCTTATCGTGGACGTGCGTAAGCATGGAGGAGTTACCGTAGATTACTAATTCCTTTTCCATGGTTTAAGTCTATCGTATACAAAGCTACCGGTAGTTAAGCTGGCGAAAGAAGGCTTATGATGTGTTCTCGCTGTTAAATAATGTTTTTAGATTTTCCTAAAATTCGAAAATATTATAAAATTAGAATGAATTGGACCACATAGGCCTACTATGCTTTTGTTTCAGTTACGCCATTCTTTTAGAAATAGGCCAGACCATTAGGTCTAATAACCTACGAATAGGCAATTGGCATATTATGATATGACAATTGCGCTTTTTTTCCCCTTTTTTTTTTGGTTTGATAAAACGATTTTTGTTTATAATGTACTGTATTGTGTTAAAAGTAAAAATCGTGCCTGGTAAACAGTATTTTTTAACGAATTCTGTGGTCGTGTTTGTATTTGATAAACAACAGTCATGGGCCTATACTTACTGAATCTTTGCATAATGAGGTTGACGAAACTAATCGAAATGTCAATGTTGTACTGTTAAGTATGGAATAGCACAGCTTACAATTAGGGACCATATCAAAATGTCCGCTGCATTTGTACAGATGTTGATGATCGGACACACGCAAGACGAAATAAAACAATATTGGTTGACATACGATGATCAGGTAGCTAATCAAAGTAACAGCAAACAGGTGATGCACACGTAAGTGATGTGTTTGTTGGGACGAGTAATTCCTCTGTGTAGGCAATGAAAATTGGTTTCAGAGAAACTGTAGTGCTGTATATTAATTCACGCGAACAGTATGACCGCATATCTTATCGCGGCAATTTTACACGGTGTTTCACATCGTATTTTCTTTAGCTTCATCAATTGTGAATAAGAGGTATTAAGAAATAGAGTGTATTGCATTAGAAAAATATAAATAATTATTATTGTCAATCCTGGTTTAAATAAAAATATAAATAATTATTATTGTCAATCCTGGTTTAAGGACGGATATACAGTAAAATGGTTATGGTCAGTGTTTGAAATGCGTGAGGTATTAAGAAATGAAATAAATATTGCTACTGAAAATGAATCGTTAATTACGGTATTGCATAAGAAAATTATAAACAATTATTATTGTAAATCGTGGTTTAAAGACGGATATAAAATGATTATGGTCAGTGTTTGAAATGCGTAAAAATGATATAATTCATGATCACTGAATTAGGCCTATGTAGCGAGATTAGTAGGCATAATATAGAATGTTTAACAGTATGTAACATATAGGCCTAATATATGGTTGCTAAGGTACTGCAATGTAATTCGATCGTACGATTTAAATGATTAGGCCCTAGTCATGATTAATTTAATTGTCACCAATTATGAAATGAAAGATAAAACTCATCCACTTATGCCTTTCCCGCTTTCCCCCTTGTCACTTATTTTCCAATGCGATTATCATAATACAGTACATAAATTGCTACGTAAAGCCATCTCTGTGTAATCGTGATGACGTCATCATGATGCGTTCATACTGATGACGTCATGCCGAATGTTTCTTTCTTTAAACTTATGAAAATTTAAAGTGGATGGGATTGGTGGCAATTTACCAATAATTAACGAAAAGATCGCGGTCGTGTCTTCGGGGAATGCTAGTGTAAGGGATCGTGACGTACATATTTTATTGTTTTTGCTTACGAGGTTTGTTATAGTGTAAGTTCACGTAGGTCTATGCTAATCAACCTACGGATACTAATATAGCTATGCCTAAAGTAATAAAATGTTATTTTAAAAAAGAGTAGGCCTTTAGTAAGCCTTATAATAATGAACGAAGTGTTTTATCACGATTTCTGTTTTCCTTGGTTTTCGGTGGCATTGATCTTGGTTAGCTCACATTTAAAGTGACTAACATTAATTATTTATAGCTATAATTCTATTTAAAGATATACCATCTGCGGTATCTAATACAATATATATATATATATATATATATAATATATTATATACATATGTATGTATATATATATATACATACATATTCGCACAGAAGAGCTATCCGGACATCTCTATGATGACAATAAAATAGCCTAAAAATAATAATAATAATAATAATAATATTAATAATAATAATTATTATTATTATTATTACTATTATTATGCTAATAATAATAATATTAATAATAATATTAATAATAATAATAATAATAATAATAATAATAATAATAATAATAATAATAATAATAATAATAATAATAATGAATAACCAGACATTTAATAATAATGATGAATAACCAGACATTTACTATTACAATAATTTCGGGGTTTTTTTAAAATTTTCTTTAACGTAGTGAACTTATACTGATGCTTTGGGTTTGCTTTTGTATTGTTTTAATGTGATGTTTTTACCGTTTCTCGTTCTTATTTTCCTTTTGTACAAAATACACCAATTTAGCTTTTGGCTACTAATGTATTTTTTTTATGAAGGAGTTTTTTGAATAAAGATACCGATTATATATATTGTGTTATGACACACGTACGCACAGCGTAGGTTTTTAGAACTTGAATAAATAGAATGTAAAACCACAAAGGACTTCACGATCAACAAACATAACCAATAACAACTTCTGTGAAGATCGATGCAATTTCAGAACCATTCCTGTTAATCAAAATATTGTGTGTTTAGACTGGTGAATGCGTGGGTTTATTAACTGTGTATGCAGAACATAATGCAAATGTAAATGGCTGTATTAGTTACACCACACAACCCCACGAAATGCAAAAATAGCACCAATCAACTGGGGAAGATAAAGAACAAGTAGAGACCAAAATCCGAATCTTTCTTGGGGAAAATAGAGTAGGATGATGATGTTTACCAGTTTCCCTATATGGAAAACGAGAACTTCATCCAGGTTAGACTATCAATATTCAGGGGTAGCGCCAGGATTTGCCCGACGGGGTCCCGATGTCCTCGATGTGGGTAGGATCGATGTCCCAGACGAGAGCAAAGTGGTCCCAGGGGGCGAATTCCCCGAAAAATATGAAAATTAATTTAGGGGTTTCAAAGGCTTATTTTTAATTTTAGAATCTATAACATGTATAACTACATATTTTTTCCCCTTCCCGACGAACCCTAAAACCACCCCCGACCCACACCCCCACTGGCACTTCTGTCAATAATAACTAAAATTAGGCCCGTTCTGTCTCCTCGTTGCCCTTATGGCTATTGTTTAAACCATTGATCTGTCCTACCTGAAGCCGTTGGGTAGATAATATTTGTGTTAATGTTAAACACAAAATAAATACGTCTGCTGTTTAATCCATGAGCATCCCTAAAGTACAATGCATATCTCAAGGACGTTTGCGAATGAATCATAACCAACGGAAACTAAGTGTTTGTGAAAGTCTAAATTCCGATGGTATTAATAACAGCAGACGATTATTTAGATAATATCACGTGATTTAAACAATGGATTAGTATGACTTGTCAAAGATCAAGAACAAAGGACATCTTCCGGTAAATCCGGGAATGTCGCTTGTAAATTTCTGTTTTTATTGTGACTTCCAGAATTAAGGTATTTACAGCTCTGATCTGTTAATAATGATAGGCCTGATAATAATAATAATAATAATAATAATAATAATAACAACAACAACAACAACAACAACAATAATAATAATAATACAATAAGGATGATAATAGTGACAATAATGAAGATGACGATGATAATGCTATTGATGATGGCCGGTGATGATGATGATAATAATACACTAAGACATTAACGCAGCTGATCGTTGCGAATGCTATTTAAGGAATACTCCGTAAACTCTGTAAGTTCACTTATTAATGTTGAATAAAGGTTTATCTTCCAATCAATGGTAAACTAGTTTCAAAACTAGGACAATCTATAATTAATTTGTATGTTACGCATGTGCACCTGATCGTGACATAATGTCCAATTACATATTTTTCCGTTTCATGTCGAATGAAAAGGAATGAGCCGTTGCCTCCCTACTGGGACTACTGGGTCACTATATAACAATTAGGCTATGATGGTTGTTATGTTTAATCAAAAATGTTTAAATGAAACTGTACTGTGGCGATTCAGATGCTTGTTAATATTGTTATTATTATTAGTATCAGCATCATTATCATTATCATCAGGGTAACATTAGGGAAATAGACTTGTATAGCGCCTTACATAATTAAAAATCTTCTCAAAGCGCTTACAGAGCATGAAAAAGAGAAAACTAACCCATAATTATTAATTATAAGCATATAGTATTATTATTATTATTATTATTATTAATAATCATTATCATCATCATTAACATTATTATCAATAGATAATATTAATAATGATGATAATGATAATGATTAATAATAATAATATGGGCTTATAAATGTTAATAACTGGTTAGTTTTCTCTTCTCTTTCTATTATTATTGTCATTATTATTGTTATTATATTATTGCTACAGTATTGATTGATTTTATTTTGTTATAGCTACAACGATATTAATGATTAGGCCCTATTTCCACAATTCTTATTATGGTCATAATCATCATAATCATTGTTATTATTATCATTATTAATATTATTAATACTAATCCTTTTATTATTAATTAAACAGTTCTACAATGGACTTTTATGTACATTAAACAATCAACAATAAGACTGAACAGTATGAATATTGAGGCGTAGGTCTACACATAATATGTCTAGAAAATTTCGACCCTCTTAATCACTAAAATAATTCTAGTCACATAGCCGTCGGAAGTGCAAGTGGTCCAGCCATTATAAGAGCGGGATGGGGGGAGAGTTCATACCCACCTCAGCCCCACTATGGTTGGGCTGAGTTGCGAAAATTTGAGGAAATAATACCTCTAGATGGCAGAATATGACACTCTTTAGTAAAATTCATCATCACATCACCATGCATAATAGTCAAAGTGAAGCGCCAGCAAATTTCTCATGAACTTTTATCATCGATTTTCGGCAACCATAGAATTATTAGTATGTGTAATGAGACCATAGAAAATAAGACTTAAAAACATTGTCTTTGATGTATTTACTTTACTTTATCATTTCAAAGATAAGATGTGAGTCCACACCCATCTCAACCCCAACATGGTTGGGGCTGAGGTGCGAAAATTGTGGGAAATAGTACCTCTCATGGCCGGAAATGTCACTTTTATATAGTAACATTCGTCATCATCACATCACTATAGTAAAAATGAAGCGCCAACAATTTCTCATGATCTTTTATCATCGATGTTCCGCAAGCATAGAGATTTAATTGATATGCGTGATGTACCATAGAAAATAAAACTTTAAAAAAATCGTCTTTTTTTATGTATTTACTTTACTTTACTTACTTCAAAGCCGTGAGTCCACACCCACCTCAGCCCCATCATGGTTGAAGAATATTGCACCTCTAGCTGGCCCGAATGACATTGTTAGGCATATATAGTAATCATCATCACATCACCATGATCTTTTATCTGCAATTTTCGGCAATAATAGAGATCTAATTAACTTCTGTATTTTACCATAGAAAATAAAACTTAATTTTCTTTGATGTATTTACTTTAATTTACCTTCGTTGCTCGGAAACTCAATCTTATACTTTTTCCCATACTTCTCAAATTATAATAAAGGCACGCGCATTCGAGTCGTGTATTACAGCCTAATTTAGATGTTAGTGGGCAGAGATACCGGAATCTTGCTATAAGATAAAACCTGGGTCACTGATTATGCAGTTCAATTCAACAACTTTCAGATATCTTCTTTACTTATGAGATTACGTTGCGATCCAAAACCCCCTTAAAAATATGTTGGGGATGTGTCCCCCGTCTCCCCATGACCTTCGCCCATGCTGGTAACCAGTGGAGTCACTACCCGGTCCCATTCCCTTAAGGGGCAGGCACAACACCATGGTTGAAAAAATGGCTCCTCTGCCGGGAAATAGCACATACATACTCTACAAAAATGAATGTCCCTCACTTTAAAAGGGTGATGAATTTTGATTGCAAGTAATGAGGGCCGGCTTGTCTATTAATACCTTTATGTCGTTTTTTTTTAAAAGTCGATTCTTATCCTATAATCATCAGCATAGTAATAATTATCATCGTCACCGCCATCATCATCATCGCCATCATATCATAATCATCAACCGTCATCAACATCATCATAACCACCACCACCATCATCATCAATACCATCATACCCACCACCATCATCATTATTATTATTGTTATTATTATCATTATTATTATTATTATTATTATTATTATTATTATTATTATTATTATTATTATTATTATTATTCTTTTTATTATTATTATTATTAATTATTATTATTATTATTTATTATTATTATTATTATTATTATTATTATTATTATTATTATTATTATTATTATTATTATCATTATCATTATCATCATCATCATCATCATCATCACCACCCTCATCGTCATAAAGGAATGGTGCATTAGAAAAAGAATAATTATTTGGGTTTTTTTTATACCACTCCAAAGGTGGCGCTCTACATATAAACATTACTCAATGGACTACGAAGGAGTCTATACAATTAATAACAAATGTGAGTACAGTATTGAACATTTTGCATCGTTAATTCACTAAAATGGGAATTTTGTGATCATTCTATGGTTGCTCACTAATTTTTCAGTGGCGGATTTAAGGTGGGGGGGGGGGTGGGTAGCAGCCGGCCTGCACCCCCTTAAATCTTTTAAAATGGTAAAAGATTGGAGAAATAAAAGAAAATTACATTCAAATTTATAATCTGAGAGTGCATTTCTAGAAAAGTTTCTTCTAGAGGTTAATTTAATCGAAAAGTTTCTTACCTCCGCCCCAACCATAGTGGGGCTGAGGTGGTGGGAACCCTTCATTTGGCAAAGTTCCCCCCCCCCTCTATCAAACTCCTGGATCTGCAACTGTTTTTATTTATATATTATGTTTTGATGATACTCCATTATAATTCTTTCTCTGTTTCTTAATCTTTTCTCAATATTTTTCTATTCCAGTGATGTAGACAAAGAAGCCACAACTATCAGGAAAGAGTGTCCGGACTGAAATGGCAACTTACCAATTATTCATAGATAGCCACAAATTGTGTCACTCATCAAGGTTCTGGATATGAAATTAATTAAAATATAGTGTGAATCTGATTTTTAAAATGTTTTCCTCTGCAAAAATCTAAAAAATAATGTTAGCAATATGTATTAATTCTTGTAGGCTGTATGTTTATTAATATTGTATTATTACTGCTAATGTTTATCTTATTAATAAAGTAACCTGTTTGTTGTAAAGAATATAGACATATAAGATAATAAGATTTAACATTTTGAGGATTAAAATCAGGTATATTTATTTTTGCCGGATGTACATGATATAGACCTACAGTATATAAATATAAAATGTATACATATATCCCAACTTGATTTCAATGCTTGAAAATAAATATCAAACAGAATTGTGCATCTTTTCTCATCGTATTTAATGTCTGTGTTTACTGTAATAAATTCAATAGCTAAAATATCCTTTATAATTATAATAAGCTTATAAGCTTAAACCGAAAGTGAAGAATTGCTTCATCAATATGTGCTACTTTAAGTATTAAACTAGCAATTCTTTCCACGACACCCTCAACAAAAACATAAAACCGGAAATGACGTAGTTGCTAAGCAACAAGCTTATGCATAATCATGAATATTCAGTGACACCTGTTCTAATTAGACTAACAATAAAATCTTTTTGGTCGATTTTGTCAAAACTGAGCTAAAAGTTTTTATTGTTAGTCTAATTAGCACAGGTGTTACTGAATATGCATGACCTGTAGCCTAGCAACCGACGTCATTTCCTGTTTTGTAAAATTCGACAGCACCTTGCTCTGAAAAGTTCCGAAATTTGTCGGTATCGTGTGAATGTATTTCGAAAGAATGTTTATAAGATATAGTAGCCTGTAATAGTGCTATATTCGAATTCAAAGTGATTATAACGTATTTAATTCGATTATATATTGATTAATAATCATGAAATATAAAATATTATCAATGTAATTACGCCAAAGGAAGTACACACAATGATGTATTATAAATTACACTACAGTTTACTTTTATTTCTTACTCGGAAATGTTACATCAGAACTATATAAACGTAATATAAATATAATATAAAGATTCTAGTTTTATATAATATAATAATGCTTAGGCCTAATTATATTTAAGTATGTAATATCTTTAGAGAATTTCTTGTTCGTTGTATAAGAAACAAAATTGTCAATTTTGATTAAATTCCGTCGATCCAGTGATATAAATCCTAACAAATATCCGCGCACGATTATTTGTAGAATTAAGACCTCATTAATCAGGCTATTGATAGCATCTTGTGTTTCGGCAATTTAATACACATCGTGTTCCATTGACAATGATTGTACATCGACTTCCCACTTACTGCTGGATCGGTAGATTTGACCTGAAACACTGAAATAAGAGATTGAACTAGTGAGAAATACATTCAAACTATTTTCATTTTTGGCATCTGTGTTAACTTAGGCCTAATTAATTATAAATCTCATTAGGTTAAAAATACTTTTTGGAAACTTTATGACACCTTCATGAGGTGTAGGAATACAAATTAAGAAAATAAAATTGATAGTTTGATTGATTTAATAATGTAAAGTGTACATATAAAGCGTTATTTTAATATGAGTGGGTGAGTACGCTACCCAACAACCCACCCCAAATCGACAAGGTCCAAATTTTGAAGACAGTCCAAATCGTATTTAATACACATTATTATTATTATTTTTTTTTTGTAATAAGACTTATAAGCGAACATTAAATATTTTAACCAATACTCTATCGGACCCCTGTATCGTCCTATAATAACAAAGCTGCGGTCCAACCTGCTTTTCCCCTTAACGGCACCTGGAGTTTTAGGTGGCCCCTCCACATTTGGTATGATCATTACATCTTATTTTCCTATCTGAACACTGTTATTATTTATATATTTATTTATATAGCATAGACGGATACATATACATACATATA